TATCTGGAGGGCGGTGATGTCACTCCTGTATAATATATCTTCTATCTGGAGGGCGGTGATGTCACTCCTGTATAATATATCTTCTATCTGGAGGGCGGTGAGGTCACTCCTGTATAATATATCTTCTATCTGGAGAGCGGTGATGTCACTCCTGTATAATATATCTTCTATCTGGAGGGCTGTGAGGTCACTCCTGTATAATATATCTTCTATCTGGAGGGCGGTGATGTCACTCCTGTATAATATATCTTATATCTGGAGGGCGGTGAGGTCACTCCTGTATAATACATCTTCTATCTGGAGGGCGGTGATGTCACTCCTGTATAATATATCTTCTATCTGGAGGGCGGTGAGGTCACTCCTGTATAATACATCTTCTATCTGGAGGGCTGTGATGTCACTCCTGTACAATATACAGATCACTGATCCCGGTAGATGGGAATGGGAGGAGGGGTAGTTGAGGGGGAGGGGCAGTCGAGGGTTAATCGGGATCTTTTCAGGTGAGCGCACACCTGTTGATTCCTCGCTGACAGCCTGGCTCCGCCTCCCCCCGAGCGGTGCGTCATATATTGTGTTCCCCCGCAGGCGACGTTTACCTGTACGTCGGGGTCACTACGAATCACAGAACATAAATCATTCCTCTGAGATTCAGCGACATCCCCGATCACCGGATGTGAACTGAATCTGATTCAGCAGGCCTTTCGTTGTGCTTCTGGGACGGTCTGCAGTGTTGGGTCACATGATTCTGTGAATAAATGCATCATTTTCAAGTTTGGTTGGAGCGTGACGTTCAGTTTTGGTGCATTTCAGTGGATGGAACACCCTGGAATTCCTGACATCTCTCAAAGACTCTAAGTGAGCTCCCAGCTCCGCCCTCTCACTGCCTTCGCAAGATGTCTTTGCTCCTCCCATTTTTTATTTCATTTTATTTGACATGATATAAAATGCATCAGGAAAATGGAAATCACTCAGGAAGACAATTGGTATTTCTCTGCCGCAGTCTCGGTTCATAGCTAGGATATACGTTTTGGGTAGAGTGCCCCTTTAAGAGCATGGGAATTCTTAAAGTGGACGGAGCAGGTGGGGGCGTGGTCACATGACAATGGCGCTGTGCGGGAAGTGGAGGGTCTCCGCCTAACGCTTTAGTGGTTCAGCAGGAAGCCGTGCAAGGTGAGAAGCGTTTCCTGGAATAGAGGACGAGAGGGCACGGCCATTTCTCTTCCTCGGTGGTCCAAGGACGGGGCGCGGGACATCCTCTTCCTGCTCCGCTAATGAAGGGGAGTCACCTGCGGAGAGAAGGAATCGGGGGGAGCGAGGAACTAATCATTCCCACATCCCAAAACTCATTATCCCAAAGGAAGCGAGGACCCGCCCTCATCCAATGTGTTCTAATGGAGACTGGAGGGAGCAATGTTCTGCAGATCTCTAGAGGGGTCAGTGGTGGAATAATCTGCAGAATATATCAATATGTATCTGTCAGGGGGGAGATGGGACGGAGCGATGTTCTGCAGATCTCTAGAGGGGTCAGTGGTGGAATAATCTGCAGAATATATCAATATGTATCTGTCAGGGGGGAGATGGGATGGAGCAATGTTCTGCAGATCTCTAGAGAGGTCAGTGATTGAATAATCTGCAGAATATATCAATATATATCTGTCAGGAGGGAGATGGGATGGAGCAATGTTCTG